AGGCAGTAGTGGCGATTATGCTGTGCGACGTAGATGGTAGCATATTTCGACCTTTATCTCAACTATGCTCCCAAAATCCTCTCATATTGGCTACTTCCTAATTTTTTTGTCATCTCAAGGTCTGCTAACACTGACAACGACTTGCCGCCATGATTAATAGTATGAGTTTGCAACTCCTCTGCCATTAATTACTGCCTAAGTATCTGAGCCAATTCAGCAGTGAGCGATCACCTAGTCCCACAAGATGTTGTTGTTATATTAGGTGTAGAAAAAGAGATGGAGCAGTAAATGATGGGCTAATGCACATTTGCAGAGGATCCCAGAGGCTACGCGCCGTAGCTGCCAGTGAAGTCGGAGAAATGAATAGAAAAAGATTAATAAGGTGGTTAATCGAGGAAGATTAACCTTTAAGACTAGATCATTAGAAGATTGAACAGGACATAGAACTACTTGAACTTTCATAATACAAAATATCTAATCAATCTCGAAAAATTGTTTTAGATGAGATTCCTAAATCACTCTTCTCAAAATAAGCATCATCAAAAGCTTCAAACGCTTAGATGTGGTCCTTTTGTTACCTAAAAAGATGGTCAACATTACGCTTTGCTTCTGCGGATAACTGCACCATTTTCCATATTCCTCACAGGACATGAAACGCTGGTTTCTCCCAAGTAGAGGGTTTAGGTGCTTTTTTTTATTATGAAATTGCTCAGTTTACAGACGGTGCTCTCTTACTTCTACTAGTTGCAATTCGCAAACATAAAAAGGACCAATAGTCCACGAAGGTAGGGCTTACTGGTGATAAAAATCCTCCACCCAACGCGCGTCTAGGCGGCTTATCCTTTTGTGTTGGTTGGCATCATTACCGGCAACCGTCTTTGTTTCTGCTAGTGGTCTTCGGCGTTGCAGCGAAGAAGCAATGAACTCAGAAAGGGCACTTCCTCCAAGAAGGGGGAGGGAAGGCTTTGAGCAAAGAATACGTTATGCCGTATAGTTAGTCCCGGATCTACTGCATTTCCAACGCTGAGCTTTACGTGCCAAGCGCGCTGCTCTGCTTAACAAGATGTGATAAGTGAAACAAAACAGCCGAAAAATTAACGCTCAGCAAAAAAATATGAA